AAAGAAACACAGATCTTTCAACTCTATTTTTTTATTGTTTACATTTCTTCAATTCTGGTTTTTCTTTTGGCTTATCAATTCCAGTTTCTTAGCAATGAATTTGAATTATGATTTGGATTTTGATTGGTGAGTTTTGAAATTGGATTTGATTTGATATATATTTTTTATTTATTTTTTATTTTTGTGGAGTTTTGATATTGATTTTAATTTTGCTTTTGTTGGTTAATTTTGATTGTGATTTTGTTTTTGTTTTTGTTTTTGATGGTTGTGGTTGTATTGTTTGGTACGGGTGGTCGGAGCAGTGGTCAGTGGTGGATGTCTGTGGTAGAAGGTGGCTATTTGCTGCAAAGGAGGAGGAAGGAGCTGGGAGAAGAGAATGGTTGAAATATCTAACAAAGGAGAAGAAGAAAGAAGGGAAAAGAAGAAAGGCAGAGAAAGAGAGGAGAAGGAGGAATAGAACGGTGGCTGAAGGTCGAAGGTGGCCGAAGGTCGCCGGCTATCGTGTGGAGGGTCACGGTCGTGTGGGTTCACGATGGTGGGTTACCCATCACTGCTATCTTTCTTCTTTTTCCCTTGCTGGGTTCGGTTCTATTCTTTTTTTTTAATTTTAAATTTACCTCAAAACAACATCGTTTTAAGAGTGTGTTTTAAGCAATGTGATAAGAAAAAATAAGAACTATTGTAATGAAAGCTAAGCCGTGATGGCCACATGAATTCATTATGATAAGATATGTTAGTGTTATATACTTTTGTGTTTGTAGGTCCACGTCTGGAGATTGATTGACCGTTTGCGAGAACCACTGTGAGTAACATTTCTGTAAAGATATGTTAATATGAATTATGTTCCAAACGAGACATGACGAGTTATTATTTCTGAAATGATTATTTACGTGAACGAATGTCCTATGCTTGCAATCTATTATGGCATCCATAGATAGTCCCAAGTCATGGGGGGACGTCATGTCAGTGCGGGTCCATGACATATATGTGAGTACGAGATCTCATTAGCCATTTCATTGTGGTGATATGTGTTTAATCGGTATCCGAAACCGATTACTCTAGTCGGAAGACGATATGTGATGTGTTCTATGGGATGTACCATTAGTATGTTCAGATATAAGGATGATTATGTTATGATTTGTCTTATGATTATGATATGTTCGGATTTCGTTCACTAACCTCTTTACCTTAATGTTATTCACTGGGCTTTAGCTCAGTGTGTGTATATATATGTATAGGTGGGCATTTTGGAGATCGAGCCTGAAGGCTTTTGTCTGGATCTGTGTTCTGTTGTCAGCTAACCATTGTGCCTCACGTGGAGGTTCCGGAAGTATCATGTGTTATAAGTTCTGGTCGTTTTTGTATGTGAGACTTATTTTGTTTTTGTTGGCTGTACTTAAGACGCTATAATGTGTGTGGGTATAATGTAAGAATGACTTTTGGATATGTATATAAAGTTTTAAATATTCCGTTCATATAAGTCAACACAGCTCATTGGACAATTATATTTATGTATTTGCTTCCGCTAGCCCCTTATTTGTGTTTATCTGTTCAGAGGCCTTTGGTAATTCAAGGATTACTGCCCGATTACGATACTAAACCTATAGGGGCGGGTTTGGGTCGTGACACTTAAGAAGAGTGTTTCATAAACACTTGTAGACCAGTCACATTTTCTGACGTTATTTACTATTTAGTTTTGTATTTCGTGTCTTAGTTTACAACAAAACCGACCTAAGCCAAAAATATAGCTAGAGAGACCATTCAAAAAACTCTATGTTAGAAAATGGAAGACATTTAACCGAAAACTAAATGATATTAAGTACTTGATGCTCTAGACTATATGAACAAATTTAAATAGTTTAGAGAGGTAATATGAAATAATAATCTACCTAGTAATGTTAAACACTAATAAATATATCAATTAAGACATAAAATTTGCATATAAATTTCATCACTAGACATAGGTTAACATCATGGCCGGCCCTGAGTTATTAGGGGCTTAAGGTGGATTTTTTAAATTGGCCCCTTCATATATCATTATCCAAAAAAAAATATATATTTGTTTGGATAAAACAAAAAGGATAAAATTTATTTCTATTGCATTACAATTTAACAAAATTTAGATAACAAATATATATATATATATATATATATATAATAGTTGAATTTCAATTAGTTATATTGAATCTTTATTTTTTAGCTTACCAATCTTATAATAACTAAAATTAATTGAGAGTAAGGATGAAAATTTTCGACACAACTCAAGCAATATATAAAATTAGCAAATTAGGGATGACTATTTTTCAACATGAATCCAAGTATGACACGACTCAACAACATGAATTATTAATTGTATATTTTAATGTTCACTATGGGATGCCATGACTTTTTTTTAATATTTTATTTAACTCCATCTAAATGAATAAAAAAAAATATGTAAAATAATAATTAAGGCTAATATATTTTTTTCATTTAAGATATGTATTTTTTTGTTACCTATTTTAGAGTCAATCTAGTAAAAAAATATAGTAATATGGTACAATTGTTTTAATTAAAAAAATGCAATTGAATTAAAATCAAACATTCTATGAATAATTTTATTTAGTTGAAATAAATTTTATAAAATTCAACTTATGGAAAAAATTTTAATCTCTCCATACACTTGCTAAGTTACTTTTAACTAAAAGTGAAAGTTTTTACATTAAACATCAATCGGACATGAATCAAAATAAGTTATAACACCATACAACAACGTGAAAATAAATTAATTGAGCTAATATTAAAGTAATTATGAAATAACATGACATGATATACTCCCTTAATTAAAAATTTTAAATTTCATTCAAAATTAAAATCTTAGACGACCGCCTTAGACACCTCACCTCAAGATCAGCCTTGGTTAACATAAAATTGTACGTGGTTGATATGTATTTGATGATAAATTTGTAATTGGTTGCAGCATTATTATAGATATGAATTAGGAAACGAGCTTATCTCATCAATGTCCATTAGTTGATCAGTTGCATGAGAGACAAGAAGAAAATATTAAATTATATGCGTTAGGTGACTCACCGACAACAACTCTTATATAACCTTAATGCAAGTGTCACTCTCTCTAGGTAGTTTTTAATTGCTTTAGCAAGAAAATAGAGTAGAGCTCGAAAGTGCTTTTTGACCAAATCCATGCTTTAAAAACAAATAATATATATATTTTAAATTTAAACATTTAAAATTAGTTATCAAATTCAAATTATTTTCTAAGTGGATTTCTTAGACTGAAATCGTATTTTCAATATATAATTTTTTTAAAAAAAAAACATGCAAAAAATAAATTTATGTATTAATTTCTGAAGTATGTGGGACAATTTTATTTTATAAATAATAGTAGAAATACTAAAAGATTTATCAAAATTTATACCAATTATGTCACGTAACACATATATAAAATATTTAACAAAAATTTTAATATATCTTTTAAGATCTCTACCATTCTTCTTATTTTATTTCCAAAACGTCTTAGTGGTGCAGAGTGGCCCACTACCCAAATGATATAAGAGCAAATTTTACTGAAGTAGTTTATTACATTTTTTGAAAGTGCATTTTCAAGTCATCTTTCGTGTTTGAAATCATATTTTAAAAACAAAAATTTGAAAATCACTTTACCTTGTTTGGTTTAGGTCTTAAAAATTATTTTGATTTTTTATTTTTAATAATTTTTTTTCATATTTTAATTCATTTTTATTTATTTGTTTTTAGATGTACCTAGTTTAGATACAATTAAAAAGTAAATATTTGTAAAAAAAAATTATTTTTTATTAAAGACAAAAATAATACTATCATATGTTAATTTGTTTTGTCTTTAATAATTTTATCTTTTAGATTTCACAACTATTTTTTACATTTTGAGTTAATTTAAAAAAAAATTAAAATTGAAAAATCTAAAATCTCCGAGATATTGATTTTTGATTATCTATCAATTTAAAACAGTAAATAACAATTTTCATCAAACAATCAAAGACAAATCGACACAAAGATTTTACGTGAAAAAATCACAATTGGAACACCTCCAATTATGATAAAAAAAACTACGGGCAAAAGTCACAAAACAATCCACTAAGAAGACACAAAAGAATTACACAAATATACTCTCAATTACCTAGCGAATCTACGCACGAATCGAACTGACCTCTATGTGTCTCTTCTAGCCTCATCTTCACCTCGAAATTGTCTTGCCCAACGTTGAATTCATAACGCCGATATCGAATCCACGACGATGAGCCACTTTAGAATCCTCCAAAGCTTCATGCCCAAATTCCCCGGAATCCACCGAAAAATAATTCTCTCTTTTGTATTGAATAAATAAACAAACTAAACAAACCCTTTTGATATAATCCATTCAATTCATGATTAAACTCTCACAGATATCAAAGGAAACAAGCAAAGAAACTCCAGAAGAAAACTGTAATACTTAAGAAGAAGATCTGGAAGCCGTACCCTAAAACCTGACTGAATCGCAGCTTTTATAGCAAACAGATCCGCGATCTCCGCTCGAGCGCGAGAATGACCGCTTGAGTGGACTGACTAAAACGTATATGACTAAATAGGGTCTACATTCGAGCATATGAATGACCGCTCGAGTGGAAAAAAACAACTCCCAGTACTTTTGCAGGCGAGTAAAACTTCTGAAAGGTCGTAATCCCCGCTTGAGCGCAGGAATGGCCGCTTGAGCGAAAAAATAACTTCGACTACAATTTTGCTAACTCAATCCCCAACATAATCAGCGAGGTGGCAAACATGAAAGAATTAACATCACAAACTTTTCTGCAAAGGCACAATTCAGGTTGGATTCGTATCTAAAAACTCATAATCTCACTGGAATAAAAGAACGAATAAAATTACAACTGAAAGGAGTTTTGTCAAATGGGATTGTCAAGAACAAAAACCTAACAAAAATGATTAAATTATGAAAACTGTAGCCTAGTGCTAGTGTTGGCATCTCCGCTCCCACCTCTCGTTGTTACTATAATCACTTTCCCAGCCTCCTCCGCCCTGTCTTGCCTCTATTCAATTCTTCTTCACCACCGTCTCATCTCTTCATCTTCTTTAGCAACCGCCAATCCTTTCGATCATTTCTATTTTTATGTTGTTGTTTTCCAACGCATTCATGGCAGTGAAAATAATATTGATTTGGGCCTTGAATAGACTGTTGAAGGCAAGGCTATCACTAGAGTCCACCCTACCTTGTTTGTCTCGCAATAAAGATTAGGTATGAACTCTTGAGGGCGCTTGATTAGGTTCGACGACGATGGCTTTGATTTGGGTTGATAGGTGGTAAGAGGGCTATGAAAAGACAGAGTAGGTGGTGGCTAAAAAAAGAAGAGGAAGGGAGAAGATTGTGATGGAAAATGGTGGGGGAAAGGCGAGGGAGGGAGGAGGAGGTTAAGGGAGTGACTATAGCAACAAGAGAAGGTGGGAAGGAAGAAGAAAGGTTAAGGGAAAAAATGTAATTGAAACTGTGTTTTTGAAGTTATTATTCATGTTTTCCTATACATTGCAATTAGTTTTGATTCCCACCTATTTTGTTATTATTTTACATTCTTTCATTTTTTATTTTAGTTTTGATTCCCACCTATTTTGTTATTATTTTACATTCTTTCATTTTTTATTTTTTATTTTTTATTTTTTGCATTTCTCCAAATAAAAAGAGGAAAATAAGATTACTATAAAAAGAGCTTGGTTTAGGGAACAAGATTACTATAAAAAAAAATGAGTTTGGTTAAAAAAAGACTCAGGCTTGAAGCATCCCACGAACCACAGCCATATAGTATTTTATTGCACGAAATTCCCACCTCAAAATAAGAGACTCATAAATGTATGAGTGATTCACAAAAAAAAAGGCATGATCACATCACAAACCTTTCCTAATTTAATAATCTTCTTCACTTCAAACAAAACGCGTGATTGAGGGACTAATTGATTGGATTGCAAAGTTGCAAATACATTTCTTTCAAAATCTTTCACTCTTTGTTTTTCACCATAGCAAACTTCTTTTCTGGGTGAATACAATAATCTTGACTTGACTGTATGGTGAAAAGTAAGAGAAAGATTTGAAATGGGTTTATTCAGGCTTTTCTCTTCTCTCTCCAAGAACAGGTCTAGATCGCCATGGAAATGGGTTTCAAAGGCCCTTTAGCTTCACCTTCATCACTCTCTAGGTTGGTTTTCCTTCTGCTTTGCTGCTCTGCTGCTTCTCTCCCCTGTTTTGAGTTGTTTATGATTATGTAATTTAGAGTAAATCCTTTAGCTTGGGATGAATTTGAAATATAGTGGTTTAATGTGGTATTTATTCAGTTGATGATTTGGCTATTTGCTTGATAATTTGATTAATGTAGCTATTAAATTTGGGTTATGGTTGATGTGGGTTTTGTTTTTTGTGTTTTTTTTTTTGATAGCCTTGAAAATTATAGGGAATTTTTGTATAGAATGATTGTGGTTGAATTAGGGCTTTTGTGAAGATACCATCACCACTTGTGGTTGAATTAGAGTTTCCTTGTATGTTTAATCAAGCTGAATATGTCATTCTTGGTTTTTGTTTGAATTCTATATACTAACATGCACATGTACCCCATGATATAGGATTATTGTTTTATCTTTACACTGTTTGTCCCAGGCTTGGATAAAGGAGGAGGGTTGCGTTAGATTAGATGGCAACCATCATCTTAAAAATTGAGTATATGAACATATATTTTCATTTTTGTTTGATGGGACTGGTTTTAGGTAGTGCACCGCCCCGAATTGATGTGAGGCCAATGAAATACTACTACAACCAAATTGATAATGCATCCAATCAATTCAAAAGTAACTGGGAAGACAAATTGATAATTAAAAAAATTTAACTACTACTACTACCACATGATAGTCATACTCAATTTTATTGTCATTTTGAACAGTAATAATTGTCTTATTGAGCTTAACTATTTGGCAGCTGTTGTTGTAAGTGGCTTTTTTTGACTGTAACCTAACCAACTGAAGTAAATAGATCAATACCTCCATATATCACACTATGGTCAGATCAGATGGGGGGATTAAATCAGACCAACTTAATACTATTATTATGGTTTTGATGCATTGAAACTTTGCATGGATATATATATATATGCACTCTAGTGATGTACATGTTAACTATTAGGTTCACATTGGAAATATATATAGTTCTGCCTTTGTTTTGGGGATTTGTTGAAAACTTGACATTGTGTGTTCACATTATTTAAAACTTTCCTGTTAAATATTGCAGTAAAATTATACAGTGTATTGTGGCAAATTTAGGTCTTGTCATTTGAAACCAAAGACCCATCAAGCTTGCCTTTTATTTAAAAAATGCTACTCCCACATCAACCTGGTTGAACATTTTGCATAAAAATTATGAAGGAATATAATTTTTTGTCTTGATTTTATGGAAACTTATCAAGATATCTATTGATAAAATATTCAATTCAGCATAAAAAATACATTGCAAGAAACCATGGGACAGAATAACTTATTTTATCAACTTTGTTGAGTGTCTAGAATCAATTGCTGATGCACAGAGGAAAAAGAAAATGATGATGATCATCGTTGTCGTCGTATCTACAGTTTTGGGGATGATTCTCTCCGCCACGGCTGGCTATTATATTTGTCAGTTAAGAAAGGCAAAACTTAAGGGTAAAACAACTCTTCCATTCAATTTTATTTATTTTTTTTTATTTTTATCTAACAGCTCAAGTCTGTTGTACCCAACTGATATTTGAGTATGGCATTCTTTTGATGCTTTTCAAGTTCCACTTCTACCCAAAATGTATATATATAAGTTTTTATAAAAAATAAAAAAATATTTCATACTCCTTATTTGTTGGGGCATAAAGCTTCTGTCATTCTCTTTTCTTAGTCTAACAATGTTAATTCACAGCAGCTCAAGAGGAAAACAGTTTCTACAAAGATTCTAAAGAAGAAAGTCAAGATAATGAGCTCGAATTACCTCTTTTTGATCTAGGTACCATTTTTGCTGCTACTAACAAATTTTCTTCCGGAAATAAGATAGGACAAGGTGGTTTTGGCTCTGTCTATAAGGTAATTATCCATTATACTACATTTCAAGCTGAAGAATCATCTATACTATTATATAAAACACACAACTCACTTGGTGTGAATGTCTATATCACGACTTTTTTGTTCCTAAAATAGTCCCTATACATAACAACTGTCATGCTCTCAGATTTTAACTGTTTCAAATGACTGTCATAATTATTTTAAATTTCACAAATGTAGTGTGTGCACTCTATACAGACTACTGAAGGGAGCAAGATGGTTTTCCTTGGATTATAGTATTGTTATATTTTTCCTCCTCGTTTTATATCTGAGAAAATATTTTAATGAAAATCTACCTCATCCCTCCTTTACTGTCCTATTTTAGTATTGCTAATGCTTTGCATAATAATTTGTAGGGCGAATTGCCTGACGGACAAGAAATAGCTGTGAAGAGGCTCTCACAGGGTTCTGGGCAAGGACTCAAGGAGTTTAAGAATGAAGTTAATTTGATTGCAAAACTTCAACACCGTAACCTTGTTAGGCTCTTGGGATGCTGCATTCAAGGAGAAGAAAGGATGCTAATTTATGAGTTCCTGCATAACAAAAGCTTGGACAACTTCATATTTGGTTTGTTAAACCTTAATAGATATATGCATAAATATTTGTCTGATATCATCAATTTTTGTTGTTTGGTTTCTATGGAATATGGAGGAAAAAATTATAAAACATAAAAGAATTGGGAAAGTTAGGGTTACTTTAGACCTTAGTAAGAATTCCCCTTGTGCGTTGGGCACAACCTTTTTTGCCCAAAAGAAATTCTGCTTAACATTTCTTTTTTTTTTTGTATTTTTGTTTTGTTTTTCCTTATTCATAAATATTGTTAATTTCCTTCTTTAAGTAGGAGTGATAATATGAAATTAAATGGTTTACCTTTTCATTTGGTTTTCACACCAACAGTCAAAGTATGATGGAAGTATAAACAAAATAAGGTTTTTAATTGGATTTTGGTGCTCTTATATCCAGATCAAACTAGGAGAAAACTGCTACCTTGGGAAAAGCGCTTCAACATCATTGTTGGAATTGCACGAGGACTACTTTATCTTCATGAAGACTCGAGATTGAGAATCATTCATAGGGATCTTAAAGCAAGTAACATCTTATTAGACAATGAGATGTGCCCAAAAATCTCCGACTTTGGCATTGCAAGAATTTTTGGTGGGGAGCAGACGGGGGAAATGACCAAGAGAGTAATGGGAACTTAGTAAGTGATCTTAGCATATATCAAAAAACATATATATATTGGCATGTGTATAAGGGCAAAGCTTATCTTGAACCTTTTAATTGTACTGTGATTGATAAATTTTTTTGATGGATTGCATTTCACAAAAATGACTGTTGGGTTAGACACTACTCTTATGCTCATTATGTGTGTCAAATTTCAGCTCGGTCAGAGGCTAAGAGATCTCTCATTTGTATTGTGCTTCAAATAAGAGATATGACTTGAAAATATGTGAGTTTATGGATGGGATATAGCTCTCAATCTTCAATTTACTTATTTGGCATGTTTGATGGGCATGGGAAGAATATTCAAATCCAATAGTCAGTTTTGTCATTTGTGAATCTGTCAAAACATTATGAACATGTGTAAACTTAATCTACAAATGCTAAAAATGTTGTCTTGTCATGCAGTGGTTATTTGTCTCCAGAATATGCAATGAGCGGTCACTTTTCGGTAAAGTCAGATGTGTTTAGTTTTGGTGTTTTAGTGTTAGAGATAATAAGCGGTAAGAAGAATTGGGGATTTTATCACCCTGAACATGACCTCAACCTCGTAGGGCATGTAAGTATGCGAGTACAATATCTTTTCTGAAATCTAAAACTTCAATTACTATTACTTTCGAATGCTATTACTAAAAGAGACAAATATATTCAAATTGATCTAGGCATGGAAGCTGTGGGATGAACAGAGTCCTCTGCAACTAATGGATGAAGTATTGGATGAGTCATTTTCGACAAATGAAGTGGTGAGATGTATTCAAGTGGGCCTTTTGTGTGTACAACAACGGACAGAAGACCGGCCAACAATGTCCTCAGTGGTTTTTATGTTGAGTAATGAAAGTGCAGAGTTGAATCAACCCAAAGAACCTGGTTTTAGTGTGGAAAGATTTTCAGTGAAGATCGAATCGTTGTCAGGTGGACAAACTTCCAGTACTTCTAATGACATTACCATTACAACATTGGCCGGGCGATAGAAGGATTAATATTACATTGAATTATTTCTGCATTTTGTAGAGTTCTTCCACTCTTGTTTGATTTTCAAACTCAACATCTGTTTTTGAGTTTTTCGTTGTGTTTTCTTGTTTTTGGTTTACTTTTTTTTTAATATTTTAGTCAATTATTTTTTTAATATGCACCTAATTAAGACACCTAAAAAGTAAAAATATTAGTGAACAAATCTTAAAAAAGTTTAGTAAAGACAAAAAAGAAATAAGCACATTTCGTGTTTTTTTGCCCTTATTAGACTTTTTTCACATTTTTTCATGAATCTTTTATGTTTGAAGTGCGTCTAGATTAGATATATCTAAAGATTAAAAAAATTGACTAAAATATTAAAAAGACTTACTAAAGACAAAAAATCACGAAAATAGAAAATACTGGAAAATAATTTTCAAAAATTAAAATCAAACAAGGACTATACCCACCCCCATTATGGTTTTGAGCCATTGTGTCACATTGTAGACAGCCCTGCAATGTTTTTAGGTATAGAGGTTCATGTGAGAATTAGTACTTTTAATTGTTCATGAGGGTGTCTGTAGTTTCATCCCGACTAATATGGTGTAATTATAAGTGTAATTATAATTTAGATCGTACTTCGCTTATTGCTACAATTTCATTGTAGGAATTTTGGAAGTAAAATTTTGTATTTGCTGAACTCCATGTGGATTGGTTCTGTAAATTTTTTCTAGTACTGTCCTCCTTGCATATGCTAATTTTCGTTTTTTTTGGAACAGCATATGCTAATTGTTTGTAATTGTGATATTGATGCTGTCTGCTTCAAGACACTTTAGTGCAATGTCTGTTTAATGGAGGCAACTAAGGTCCATTTACATTAGGAGGTTTAATATGAGCGATTCGAGTTTAGTTCCTTCTTCTTCTTCTTTTTTTTTTTTTCTTTTTTTTTAATTCCGTTAGAAATTTGGGGCCGAGACTTAAGTAGACATTAGAAATTTGAATATTGAATTGTATTCATAAATATATAAAAATATAAAAATACACACATTTTATGATATTTAAACCTTGTTTGGGAATTAGTTAGTTTGGTGAGTTTTTTTTTAACATTTTATAAAAAAAAATGTGCAGAAAAATAGAGAGCCTGTTGTGACAACTTATAGTGAATTAAAATTTTTTTTTTGGGACTAGTTGGAAATGGACCGTGGATGAAAGGGAGAAGCAATCCTAGCCATTGTATCAAATACTACCCTTCCTTGTTACATAAAATTTTCTCTAAAACTAAATATTTTTTTTTTTTCAAATTTATTCCCCTATTGCATTGCTACCACTTTCCTTATCTTTCCCTCCCCTACCGCACACCCTCTCTGCCTCGCCAACAACTTACCAAATCCATAAAGATAGAAATTCAATAAAACAAAAGTAAACTAGCTAATGTGTTCAAGAAATTTGAAAGCGCATCAACTAATAAAAAATCAAAAACATCAAAATCAACAACCAACAGAAATAATGATTGATCAAGCATAATATAAAAAGTAGATGTCAATGAATACCTTCAATTATTTTTTTACTTCCCTTGCCCCGTTATACCCGGCCACCGCCCAATTATATTTATTAAATATATTTATATATATACTATATATAATTTTTTTTTCTCATTATAACAAAATTAAAATACTATACTTACCCCCCTCCAAAAAAAAAAAAAACTTAAAATACTAATATTTTACACTTGTTATTAATTTTTACTTATTTATTTATCTCGTTACATCTTATAATTCTCATTAAATATAAATTATTATCAAAATATATCATATTGTCTATAATTTTTAGTCATATTCTTGTTATTTAACTTAAAAAATTAACCCGTCGCTTGCTCCGCCCCCTTCCTACCCCCATAACCACCATCACCACCCGATTTGCCCCACTTCTGATATGATATGAGACTGGTGCGAGTTATTAAAAACCCACTCCAAACCCGCAAGGAAGATGGTATTCAAATCTAATCACATGAGATTAGAGGTGAAATGACTGTTTTGCCTCTCATTTTATAAAAATAATTTAATATTAAAGAAATAGTATAATAATATATTTATATAAAAATATATATCAACATCAAATAATATATTGAAGTAATGTAGCGTCAAAATAGGAAAATTAGCGAAACATCCTCTCCAACTTTAACAGTATGAGAGATTCAATATATCTTTTCTTATTAGTTAAGGTCTTTCAATAATATTGTTAAAGAAATTTCTCTTTGAAAAACTAAAATTTTTATGCGAAATAGTTGAAAACCTCAATTACTATGAAAAATATTGCATGACATTTATTTTATAAAATCTTAATATCAGAAATCTTAAATTACAAATCTGATTAAAATATGTCAAAAACACTAAAAATATTTATAAAATGATAAAACAAACATAAATTCTTACTAATATAGTGATTTTCAAGCAAATACAATTTTTTAACAATCTCACATAATCCAACTTTGAAACCAAATGGGTAGGAGTGTAAAAATGGCCCGTGGCCTGGGGTGGGCCCGACCCGTTTAGGCTCGAGCCTAGCCTAAGACCTTGGGTCTAAGCCTGGGCCATCATTTTGAAGCCCGGTCCGGTCCATGGTCAGACCTATTGGCCCGCTTAAGGCCCACTCAAGGCCCGACCCAAGACCTAGTGTCTTTTTTAGTAGAAAATAATAAAATTTTGGTAGAAAAAACAAAAAAAACAAAAAAAAATGTTCAGGCCCGTCCAAGTCTGAGCCCAGGCCTAGGTCTAGGTCCACCGGTCCGAATACCCCTGTGCTTAATTTTCTAACCCGTGGGTCGGCTCGACCTTGCTTGAATTTTGGCGGGAGCCTGTGAGGCCCAACATTGGCCGAGCTGGGCCAAATTTACACCCCTACAAACGAGCTTAAATGAGAAAAAGAAAGAGAGAGAGAAAGAGAGAAGGGAAGGGTAGATGGACAGTGGTGCGACATGTGACTAGAGAATCAATTATTGAACAAATCTAACATTTGAAGGTTCAGAAGAGCACCAAGCTCCGGCCCAATTACGCCGGAGATATATGTTCTAATTTTAGATTTGTAAGGTCGGTTATCATCTCTAATAAATTTCTTGATTATTTGAATGGGATTGTGTTTGATTTGGTATTTTGGGTTTAGATTTGATTTCGATTTTGTGATCTAAGTTATGCTTGTTTATTGCAATCAATCACTGTGCATTGCATGTGTGATCATCATCAGAAGAGAATGGGCACTTCACTTCTAGGTTTGAAACAAAGGCTTGACAGATATCAAAGAGAACCCAACAATGGAAACAACTACTAAATTGGGTAATTTGTTGATGCGAAAGTTATTGACACTTGGTGGTGTTGCAAAGATTGACAGCGGGGGAAAAGCGGCGGCGGCGGCGGCGGAAGCTTGAAAAGGATGCCATGGTCGCTGTAGGTTTCAAAAAGCTGGAAAAGGAAAAATAAAAAATAAAAAATAAAAAAAAGAGTAAATTGTTGAAAAGTACAAGTTAATGAGGGTGTAAGACATTATGTCCAATTAATATTTTTTGTTAGTGAAAAGTCCACAATTTGTAAAATAGTTTGGTGAGAAATCTTTTTATTTGTTTTAAAGAACATTTTGTTTTCAATTTTACCACTTAATTTATCTGTTGATTTTTTTAATCTGTTTGACTTTCGTTGATTTCTGTTTAAATTTTTTTCTTTCTGTTCAAATTTTTTCGTATCTGTTCAAAATTTTTCCTATCTGTTAAATTTTTTACGTTATCTGTTCAATTTGTTTACCTTATCTGTTTACCTTTTTAATCTTTTCAATTCAAATTTCAAATATTTGTCCAAATAAAATCTATCTGTTGAACTTTATTTGTTCAAAAATTCTACCTGTTCAAATTATCTATTGAAATTCTATAATCTTTTTTCTATATGTTGAAAATAAACAGATAGAGGACACTAAAATAATAAGAAACCAATCATATCTATTCTCCACTCTCTTCCAAACCAAACAAAAGAGAATCTTTGATGGGATTTCATCATCATCATCATCAACAGCAACAATAACCAAACAACAATAACAACAACAACAACACAACATAATCCAACATATTTGTTCAAAACACTTCAACAGACAAGTACACACAACAACAATAACAAAAAAAAAAAAAGTAACGAATTTAAAGGTTGAACTCACACATACACAATGAATAGATAAAATCCTAACAAAAAAAATTTAGATCTCTTGAGCAAATAAAACCCTAACAATAATACTCTAACAAAAAAATCAAATCTGAATCCATATATATATATATTGATCAAGATTTTTCAAAAAAATTATAGATTTGTTCAAAAAAACCACAAAATAAACATGAAGGAGGATGATGATCGGTGGTGCTACGATGGAAAGAGTTGTTATGCTGTAACAACCCTGATCTGTAATTAATTACTAATCCGTAATTAAGGATGTTAATTAAGTGGTTAAAATAAATTATGTGTTTATTATGTATTTTGTATGTTAGTTGGCTTTCAATTTGTTACTCGTAGTAATATCTATCATGATTTATGCTTTGATATGAAATTTGATAGCCTAAATGGTCTCAGAAACTGAAATTGAGCACATGGATAGACTAATTAGAATTTTTGGAACCATCTGAGAAGTTTTGTTAAAAATTGATTCAGTTTAGTAAAATTGCATGTAATTAAATTGAACCTTGATTAGAATTGTTTTAGGTTAATTGAGTTGTGTGTTAACCATGATAAATTAAGGCTACTTGTGTTTAATTAAGATGATACATGATTAGTATCTAATTTGGTCCTATTTATGATTCAACATCTGATTAAGTGTAGTATGAATTGGGCATTTTGTGTTGAGTGTAGGGGATTAAAACTATTGTATATGCGTGTGTTGAAATTTTGCATGTGTGTGCACGTGTATTGTGCACAAGAAGTGAGGTGAGTGTTTGTACATTCAGCTGAGTTAGAGAGTATGTTGGTGTCATTCCTATTGCTTAATTGATTCCTTGTGTTGAGAGTTCAAGCTAGAGAGGGAGAGAGAGTTTGGCTTTAAAGAGAGAGAGAGAGAGCTCAAAAGTTTGAAAAAGAAGAAGAAAACTAGGAAGATTCATCTCACATTTCTAAAATTAAAGCTTTAGGTAAGAATTCTATGACTTATTTC